AACCAGAGTTTCCTGCCTCAGACATCGTAGCCGTTGCTACTCAAATTCTTCGACTGTCAGTTTAGTCTGAATACTAGGTCCCTCTGTTCTGAGTCATTACATCTTCCAACATAAGTAGATGGCTATGCGGTTCTTTTCAATGTATTCATTCTTTTGCAAAACCTACTTAGAACGCTTGATGCGAAAACCTAAAATATAATATCTCCAATTTCAAGTGTCCTATTGTTTTTGTAAACTATTTATGCTTAGCTTGTTGACAGTGTGTAAAGGTTGGGATGACAGTTGATCCCTAGATGCCACGCTGTCGTTTCCTGATAAAAAGAGCAACACTTTCTTACTAGAATGACAGGTACTGTTGTTTTTCCTCCTGTGAACATAGCCTAACAGCCATTAGTCAAATTCAAACATTTAGATTGATCTTTTTTCTGTTTACAAAACCTTTAAACATTGCTGTTGTTATGCTATACAACTGTGTAAATGTGCAGATCTTTTCAATATTTTTTTTCTTCCATGAACTTCATTTTTGTTTGTTTTTTCAGGCATTATGATTTGCTGTTTCGAAGTAGTATATAGCATAAATAAAGTAAATTACTGCTTAAAGTAACTTGGGTTTATGCATTACATTTACCTGCACATTGTTTGTGAATTTCTGGATTCTTAGTTTCTTGTCTTTGGAGGATTTCATAACCCATACAGAAACAAATCTACTCATATTTCTAATATATGAACTCTTTAAGGTTTAAATAAGTTAAAGAAACCAGCTTCCATAGTTATTTTTAATATTTGTGATTTTTATATACAATTATTAATAAAAAATGTCTAAAATAGGAAAACCTTTGTTTTTTTTAATGGCGTTTTAAGTATAACACACTTATCAAGGACAACATAAGATTGTTACAAGACAATATTGGTAAGCAATGGAACAAAGAAATATGTTGACTTCCTTGGACACCATAAAGGACATTTCCTGGACTCGTCTCCTGCTCTGCTTTAACTCCTTTTTAATAGCATTAGATTTGTTTCCATTTAATGTCAACCTACCACCATTCAAATCTAATTAGCCGTTGTTGATCTCATTTTGTGACATTTAAGACATTTATCTACCCGCTGTCTCTGACAGCCTAAACAATTTTATTGACAGAGTTAATTTACCCAACAAAAATAGTATGGCCTCCCATCACTTTGAAGGACGACACAATATCGCGTTCAATTAAAGTTGCCTTACCCCGTCATGATTACAAGCTGCTCAACGTCAGCTAAAAACCTCACATCAGAACATGGAACAAATCTTCAAGAAAAATTTGTTACTAATTCAGAAGAAGTGAAATAACAAATCTTTATAGAAATATAAGGTCTCCTCTTATTTTGTTAAATTCAAACCATATTTATTTTAATAGCCTTAATCATGATAAAAGATCTGTGAATAGCATGGTATATTTTTAACATAAAGCTCCCCAATTGTTCTATATCTTCTCTAACCTTTTTGTGGTGTCTCCAGTATATCAACCAGTTTGTTTTCTTTCATGGCTCCCTAATAAAATCAGTTTTTAACTCCTCTCTTTATTGCCAGCAGTGTTCCTCAGAGATAACTCCTTGGGCTCCTTCTTTTTATGATATGTTCTGTAAAAAAAAATACTTAGAATCTAAATGCTTTTCTTCATTGTTTTCTAATTTTACAATGAAAAACATGAATGAATTTTATCAATGATTTATGTAATGGGCCAAAAAACACCATTTGTTGCTGCGATTACAATAGGAAATCTCCTGTGTATGTCTCTTATAGCTAGATATGGCATTTTTTGGAGAGTGACTGTAAGTGTTGTTAACTGTTGTCACTATTTTTTGTTTAATTTGGTTTTGAATTTTAACAAAATAATTTCCTTAATAATTAAACACTTCATTGTAGCTCCTCTTGTCTTGCGAGGGACGTCTTGTTAGTGTGTATGCGTCAACTCCTGTGCATTATTATAGGCGCTTGTATTTTACTACTTTTATTACATTTCATCCATCCATCCATTATCTGACACGCTTGTCCCAGTTGGGGTCGCGAGGGGTGCTGGTGCCTATCTCCAGCAGTCAATGGGCGAGAGGCAGGGTACACCCTGGACAGGTCGCCAGTCCATCGCAGGGCAACACAGAGACAAACAGGACAAACAACCATTCACGCACACACACTCACACCTAAGGAGAATTTAGAGAAGCCAATTAACCTAACAGTCATGTTTTTTGGACTGTGGGAGGAAGCCGGAGTACCCGGAAAGAACCTTTTATTACATTTTTGTCTTTTAAAACATTTCCTGCAAGGGATTAATAAAGTAATTTTGAATCTGCTTCTGATTTCCTTCTGGCAGGTAAACTGCTACCTGAGTCTTAAGTATTTTCCAACAATGAACACGAAGTATATTCACAAAAATAGAAATAACACATTAAAGTCAATGAGTTGCCTTTAAGTTTGAAAGCATTTATTTAGTTTGTAAATCCATGCAGGTTGTAAATAGAGATGGAAAAGCAAAATCATATAT